GTGTGCTTCTCTTACCTGATGACACTTTCAGGAGATTCTCATCTCCACTCTTCTCCATATGTTTGGGATCTGTTCCTGTGTTTCCGTCACTCTGCACCTGGGCCAACACAGGTGAAAGCTGGCAGATGCTCTGAGTTTCTACAGGGGCAAGTCAGATTATAGAAGTGGACTGGTAGCCAAGGGACTGTGGCTGGGTGTTTGTATGCATGTGATAGTTGGTGGTACAAGAGGAACACACAGGCTTGACTTTACTGCTTGTTTGTTTTTTTCTTCTGAATCTTATTTTATGCATCCATAAAATGGGGTTAAGGCATTTCATAGACCTCTTGTGAGGATCACATAATCCCACAAGACCTACAAGAGACCAGACCTTCTGACCTCCCCTGTTCCTGTCATGCTGCTTGCTAGACTGATTCCCCAGAAGCTCTGCCCTTTCTTGCTGGATGACTTGAAGAAAGACATCTCTTCTGTGACCTTTGAACTTCCATATCTGCAGTCACAGTGGCTTCTACCAGTGGCCATGAACCTGAATGCTGGCAGTCTGGAAGCCAGATTGTGGCATGTCCCTCATACTCTTGAGTGACTGCTGGCTTCTGCTAAAACAGCCAGGTCACTAGCTCTACAGCTGTGTCCTTAAAATTCCTTCTGCTTAGGACATTCACCTGTCATTGCCTGTTACAGTCCCATCACTCACTAAAGAATGGATATTCGTTGGGGCTCAGTGGTAGAGTTCTTGCCTTGCATGCATGAAGCCCTAGGTTTGATTCCTCAGCACCATATAAGCAGAAAAAGCCGGAAGTGGTGCTGTGGCTCAAGGGCACTAGCCTTGAGCTCAAGAGCTGAGGGACAGTGCCCAGGCCCAGAGTTCAGGCCCCACAACCGACCAAAAAAGTTTTTTGGAGGTTGGTCATGGGCTTGAACTCAGGGCCTGGATGCTGTTTTCTGAGCTTTTTTAAGGCTAGTACTCTACCACTTTGAACCACAGCCTCACACTTCTGGTTTTCTGGTAGTTAATTGGAGATTAGAGTCTTACCAACTTTTCTGTCTGGGTTGGCTTTGAATTGCAATCCTCAGATTTCAGCCTCCTGAGTAGCTAGGATTACAGGTGTGAACCACCAGTGCCCGGCTTATTCTTTTTCAATCCGTTTCTTCATAGGACTTCTTTATTCTCTCAGCATTACCTACCAAGTAGATACCTTGAATGATTAGTTCAAACTTCTGGTTCAAACTTCTCTTCTTGGGCTGGGAAGGTGGCTCAGTGGTAGAGTACTTGCCTTGCATGCATGAAGTCCTGGGTTCCATTCCTCAGCATAAGCAGAAAAAGCTGGAAGTGGCACTGTGGCTTAAGTGGTGAGTGCTAACCTTGAGCTGAAGAGCTGATGGACAGCACCCAGGCCGAGTTCAGACCAACAAAAAACAAAACAAAAAACTTTTCTTCTTCACTTGACTGAACACTCCAAAGATAGACAATGCTTCATAGGCACAACTCACATCTTTATCTTGTTGGTGCTAGAACTCAGGGCCTCCCCCTCTCACTTGGCTTTTTTACCCAGGGACTCTACCACTTGAGCCATACTTCCACTTCTGACCATATGCTGATTAACTGTAGATGAGTCTCATGGACTTTTCTGCCTAGGCTGGCATTGAATCATGACCTTCAGATCTTAGCCTCCTGAGTAGCTAAGATTATAGGCATGAGCCACTGTGCATGAGCACAGCTCACATCTTATAAACAAATAGTGCTTAATTAATGGTTGTTAAGAGTGAGGAAGATAGAAGACAGAATAAAATCTCCCATTCTCTTAGTGACCATGTTGAGCCTGACAGAAAAATCTACGGCATGCCCTTCTCCAAACTAGCCAACAAAAAGCCAGCCTGGAATGGCTCAAGTGGTAAAGATGAGCCTAGTGAGTAAGCACATGACCCTGAGTTAAAATTCTGGTACCAGAATGAAGCAGGACATTAGTGTCCTGGCTATACAGGGCCCAGGCTAGAAAGAGAGTGGTGTCTCTTTACCTGACCTCTCCCTGAGAGCTTTCAGTGCTGTATTTTCATTTCCTTCCTCTCCAACCAGCAGTAGAAGGTGCCTCTCTCTTCCCCCTCCAGTTGAATATCACTGCCTGGGCAGCAGGGTGACTTGAACCAGGGAGACAATTCTTTCAAAAGCCTGCTCAGAGATGTTGCTGCATGCTGCTTGCGTTTTCTTTCCATGTACTGACTCCCAGAAGCCCTGCACCCAGGTTGTTCTCTCACCACTCCCCTCCCCCATTCTTCAGGCTTACCTGGGCAGGCTGCCCATCTGTCTTTATCTTTCCCTGGAGTCAGGCTGAGGAGGCTAGCGTGTAGAGGCCCCCAACCCATAGCAGCTCTTGGAGGCCCGGGCTTTGTCTGCAAGAGTTAGAAGGGAAAGGACTTTTTGTCTGGGACTCTATAGTAACAGGCCTGGCTCTTGCTCCTCTTAGCTGGGACTTGGCGCAACAGCCCTGTTCCCACACAGGTTGTGCAACAGCCAAGTCTCTGCCCCCCTTCTCGCCCCCCACAGTGCGAGGCCGAGAAGCATTCTTAACATTCTTTCCAGAGAAAAGGGGTGAAATGTCTGAATTTGGGGGTCACTACGTAATACAAATTGCAATCTAATCGTTTTTACAAGAACACACTTGCAGTGAGAAAAGCAACCCAGGAGGAGGGGATGAGGAGACAGACAGCTTGTTTTGTCCCCCTTCCCCCCAAAGTTTGGGGCTTTTGTTGGCCAGTCCCCTCTTCCACCACAGCAGTCAGGCTAGAGTTTTCTAGTTAAATTGGGCCTGAGGTGGGGGCTCACAGTGCCATTTCTGTTTGTTTTCCCAAATCAAAGCCCCAGCAGGGCTCCTATGGCACTGCTGGGCCGCTATTAGAAGAGCCAGGCCATTCCCAGACCTGGTGTGTCAGTTTATGCTCTGAACTTAACCTCACCAGCACTGCACAACAGAGCCTTGAGGGTCCTGTGTCCAGAAGCAAAAGAAATTGTATCTTTTTATTGGGGTTTAAAGTGTGTGTGGCCATTTGAGAAAAGCATGACAGAAACTCCTCAGCCCCTGGCCAGGCTTGGCTGGCAGACATTGGGCAATCCCCTGCCCACCCCTCCCCTCCAGGGATTGCTACTCACTGGGCCCTTGGGTCTCTCCTAGAGAGCCCCTTGGGCTAACTTGATTCTTTAACAGGTGGCTGAGATGCTGAGCAGGGCCCAAGTTCTGAGTTGAGTATGGATATCCTTTGCCTCATAAAATTGCTGACCCTGCCAGCCCCATGGGTACCCCTCTCTCAGAACCTTAGGACTGGGCAGGTAGGGCCATGCTGGGCTCTACTGCCCATCCCCAATGCCTTTCATCTTCTATTTCAAACAAACATGAAATTACTTCTACAGATTAAAGGGGAGAGCTCCTCAATCATTCCTTATGGCCTCACTAATGGAGGGGGCAGGGCCCCCAAATCTGGAAAGAGAGAGAGAATTGTAAAGTGCAATATCCCCCGCCCACAGCTCAGATGTGTATGTGCACCTATGAGTGTCCACAAGGAGACTGCGTGGTCATGACTGGAAGGTAGGGCTTCTTTGAGAGCAATGTCAGTGACCCCCAGGAGACACTGGTCTGGGGAGAAAGCCTTTTCCCTGTTCCCTCAGGCGTTCCCAGCAAGGGACGACTGAGGAAGAGGACTTTCCCTTCCATCAGGTAGAGGAGGCGAGGCACAGGAATGCCAACTTGGGGTCTAGCCCTGCACTGGACAGCTGCAGTGCTCATTGCCCAGGGCTCACACAAAAAGGCAGCCAACCTCCATCGGTGCCTCTAGGGAAGATGGCGCTTACTTGGGAGGGGGAGGTCGAGGGTCAGGCTGAGTGAGTGTGAGGCCAGAAGCTGAAGTCTTCATTCAGACAAAGCCAGTGGCCTTGTCTGCCTCAAGCCTCAAGCTGGGTACTGCTTGGCCATGGAGTCCTCCACCCCAGGCCAGGGCCACTTACCTGAGTCTCCTTGTGAAGTGCCCATGGCCTTGTTTCTCTTGTCATGCCATGGAAGAGGACCCAGCATCTCATGGGTGAAGACAGCTGAGGCACTGGGTCTAGAAGGTGCTTTTTCTCCTTCATTTCCCCTGAACATTCTGTAGAAACTAAGTCCACCCATCCCCTAGCCACAGGGATTAGCGGGTGCACTTGATGTTGAGGGGTAGTTGCTAGGGCCAGGAGGCCCCCCTACATGGTTGCTAGGGGTCTGGCATGGGGCAAGGAGTCTGCCCACTGCCGCGGTCACGGAGGGAATTACACAGTCACAAAGAAATTGTTCTTCTCAGTAATCTGCTCTTGGCCACCGGGTGGGGTGCGGGTGGGGGGTGCAGGCTGGAGCACAGCGGGCTGGGGGCTGTGATCACAGAGGCGTGCTAGCCCCGGGCTGGGGGCCAGAGGCCAGGAACACCAGGGACCAGCTTGCTAAGCTGCTTTCTCAGCAATTTCTCTCCCTGGACACAAAGGTGTTTACTTGCTCTAACATCTCCTGGGACTCCCCTTCTCCCTTTGTGTGGTCTTTATCCCCAACGAGGTTTGAGCCCCAGATTACAGGCACGAATTAAGGCATTGGACTCAGGCAGCTCAGAACTGCATGACCTGCAGGATCAAGGAGTTTAAAGTAACTTAGTATGTGTATGAGAGGGGGGCCAACGCCTTCAGTGAAGTCCGTTCACTACCCTGAGGTGACCAGTGTGCAGTCGGAGCTACTGTGTGCCCAGTGGGGGCTTCTGCTAGGACCGGCATGCCAGGGAGGGGCAAGGGGTGAGCACTGGTGCTGGGTGGAGACTGAGCAGAGGCCTCATCTGGAGTGAGAAGGAGTCTGGCATCTCCCTTGGACCCCTTTCCTCAGGAAGTCTTCCAGCTGAGGAAGTAGAGCTACCTGTCCCCAAGGCCTGATGCCATCTGCAGAGTGTACGTGTGCGTGGCCAAGGTGGGCAGCCTCTCACCCGTAGCCCTTCTTCCCCAGTGGGCAGCTGATGACACACCTGGGCAGTGACTTTCCTCCAGGCGCTGGGGTGCTGGATGTCATGTACGAGTCCCCGTCTACACTACTTTCCTGTGGTTATGACACCTATGTACGCTACTGGGACCTCCGCACCAGTGTCCGGTGAGTGTGCTGGGTGAAGGGCAAGAGGGCAGAGCTTGGTGCCCATCCTGGTCCTCCTTCCAACTCTAGACTGGCCCATGAAACAGCCCAGAGATGCCACATCAGAGGCTAAGACTGGTGCAAACAGGCTTGAAGCCTGTGTAGCCTCCTGGGTCCCATGACAAGTAACACAGCATCGGGAAGCACAAAGGAGGGCATGTCAGCTGCATGGCCCTGGGGCTGGGGAGAGTCCTTCACAGAAGATACCTTTTCCTATTATGTTGGTTACTAAAACAGTATGACAGTTCAGGCTTCTCAACCCAGCCCAGAACAGCTCACTAACCCCCCTCCCCCTAGCTCCTCTAGACCTGGGGAGGCTGGACTGGAAACGGAGGGTACCACATCTTCCCCTTGCCTTTCTTTTCCTGGACAGGAAATGTGTCATGGAATGGGAGGAGCCTCATGACAGTACCCTATACTGCCTGCAGACAGATGGCAATCACCTCCTAGCTACAGGTTCCTCTTACTATGGTGTCGTACGGCTGTGGGACCGGCGCCAGAGGGCCTGCCTGCACGTAAGTGCCCTGCCTACTTCATTCCTCATGGCTACATCTGAGTGAACACCATGGCCAAGGATGAACTTGAAGCTGGCTAAAGGAAGCTTATAATAAATAGCACACAGCCCGGTTTCCTGGGTGAAGGCGCTCCCATTTTCTACTTGGAAAGCTCTTACCAGCTCTGTGCCTTCTCTTCCAGGCTTTCCCGCTGACGTCAACCCCTCTCAGTAGTCCTGTATACTGCCTGCGTTTCACCACCAAGCATCTCTATGCAGCGCTGTCTTACAACCTCCACGTCCTGGACTTTCAAAACCCGTGACAAGTAATCCCTTCTTGCAGGCCAGGGGAACCAGCTACTCAGGGACCTCTCTTTCCACCCCTGCCCTGTACCTAGACCTGTGACTTCAGTGCTCAGACATTAAAGGCACTGGTGCTCACCCAGCAATGCAGGACCTCCCTGGATGTGTGGAGAGATGGGACCTGCTGCCTTGGGAAAATGCAGAACTCAGGCCTATGTCTAGCACCCTTATTTGGCCAGAGCAAAGGCCCCTGGCCTGGAAAAGCTAATCCTGCCCCTGCTGCTTTGCAGAGCCATGATGTCCTACAGAGTGGAGTGGGCCACTTTGGTCTGACCTCACCTTTCACCAGCTTCTTGGAACTGGGGACTCATTCCTGAGGCAGGCACTGGCCTGGTTTCACTTTGAAGCCAATAAAGGACAAAGAGAACCTGGCAGTTGTGGTGAGTTCTGAGCTAGCCTTACTTTGGACTAGCTCTGTGAAGACATACTACTATTTTCATTTTTGTAAAAATAAACTTTGATTTGTTCACAGATCTGGTTCTTTACTGGCTCTGCTGCTCTCAAAAGGCTGCGGGGAGATGGAACATCAAATTCAAACTCAGGGTACTCATGTCAAGGATGGGACAAAACCAGCACCAAGGCTTTGTGTCCCCCAAAGAACAAAGTCTCTTTAGAAACTCCTCTAATGACCCTCGACCCCCCTTTTAGCTCTCACTCTCAATCTTTGTTTTGGAGGTAGGAGTGTTATCTGTGGTATGGTATGGACTGGGGACTACAGTAGGGTTCCAGGTTGCTAGGGTGCTAAGCTTCTGTCCATGCTGCTTATTCACTCTTCACACCCTCTTGGCAACACCCTCTTGGTAACTCTTATTCTGGTTTATTTACAATGGCTCTGTGCTGTTTCTAAAGTGCTTGGGTTTTTTTTTTTGTTTTTTTTTTTTTTAAAACTTCTCCTGTACCCATACCTACCTTAGGAAGTGTTTCCTGACCTACCCACAAAAGCCAAGCTAGCACAGGGCACCTCCACACCAGACCTCCTGAGGGTAGGCAGGCAGGTTGGCACCCTGCCTTGCTCTCTTCCTTTTAGGTGGAAGCTTTATGTTGAAGGTCCCCAGGGAGTGCCATACCACTGGCCTCCCTAAGGAAACCCGTAAGACCCAGGAACAGGCAGCATACACAGATAAAACAAAAAAGCAGTCCATCTGCAACAGTCAGAATGACTTTACTCAGGAAACAAGACCATGAATAGGGGCTAGGAGTGCCCCACACCAGTCTGATGCACTCCATGTAGCTCCTAGGAAGCAGCTGCCCTGTTTCAGAAAGGCACCAGCCTGGAGGTTTCACAGCATCTCCACACTAGAGGCAAAAGTTCAGGGCAAGCTACTGGGTCTTACAGTCCCCATCACTGCTATGGGCAGTCTTTACCTTCTTCAGCTCCTTCTGTAGCTCTGATTCGGCCACCATGACCTCCTTTGGCTTCTGGTACTGTGGATGGAACCAGGAAGAAGACATAATTCAGTACTACCCCCACCATCAACCTCCTCCATGCACACTCAAGCTCCTTCTTTTCCTTTTATTACATATGGGAAAACTGGTTGAATGATTTACTTAGGTGATGTGGCAGGATAGGACCAGAACCCCAACCTTGCCATTTCTACCACTTCTCTGTCTTCCTGCAGCTTTGAATTGTGTAACCTGGCTCTTCTCTGACCCCCACCCTGCTCTTCCTCAGCGGACTGGGGAGACTGTTCTCCAGCATGCACTTCAGGGGATGGGGATGTTCAGGAGATGATGTGGACAGAGAAACAAGAAGAACTTATCCCCAGTGCAGAGGCTACGTAGTCTTGGCAAATCTTACAGAGATGATCAGGGTGCAGTTGGCATGAGCAAAGCTCAGCAAGGAATCATCCAGAGGTAGCTGGAATCTGTCTAAGTCAGGAATGGAGAACTTCTTGTAGTACCTGTGGGGACACCAAAGGGCCATTGGGGCACCCAGCAAGCTGACCTAGGTGACCCCAATAGTTGGCTGCTAGGCTTGGCCACTAAGCTTTTAGAGCCCCCCCCCACACACACACATACTCCCACTTTTCACCTAGACAGAAACTAGTGAAAACAGCAGTGTTTTATTAAAATAACTGTTTTAGTGTTCAGTGCCCCTGGAAAGAAAAGGAAGTCAGCCTTTTGGCCAGTCTAACAGAAGGAAAGCAGAGCCAGGTACAATTCTGTGATTACACCAGGGGCACAATGACTCACACAGCAAGGCTAGGGATTCCCTAAGGCAGGGAGAAGCTTCCTGGAAAACACAAAGAACTCAGGTAGCTTGGGATCCTCTGAACCTCAAGCCTCATTAAGGTCACTGGGAAATAGAAGAGGTGCCCTAAAGAGGGACAGGATAAAAATACCTTGGGCCTTGCCCAAAGCTGGGGATGAGATTTCCCCCAAAGGCTTTAGCTACCTTTTCCTTTTTTGGGTACCTTGCAAGGCCCTATTAATATGACTCTGCTTTCTAAGCTAAAGAAAAATACACTCACAAGGACAAATCTCCCTGGATCTCAGGCTCTAGACTCCCTTTGCTGGCCAAAGGGACCCACCTCTCCTCTTTCACACACCTGTGCTCACTTCTTTCAATTCAAAGTGTTTTTTTGTTTTGTTTTGTTTTTTGTTTTTGTTTTTGGTGGGGGGGGTGGAAGTGGGGGTGAGGGGGGGTCATGGTGGTTTCTCTTTAACTAAAAACCAGACCATAACACCCAGCCCATAACACATGTAACTGAAATTTTCAGGGACTCTGACCTTTGCCAAGAGGGCACACAGGCTCAGAGGGGCAAAATGTCCTATATGATTTCTCTGTAGTTGTCAGTGAAGTGTAAGGGAGGGTCAGAGCACACAAAAGAGCCCCCACTCAGCTCTAACAATAGGCCCATTTGGCATCCTTCTAGGTGGAAGTATGGCCCTGGCCCTGGCAGGAGCTGCCAGACCTGTCACTTGGGCAAAGCCATCACTTTCTGCTCCAGAGGTTGTGTGGGCTGCAAAGGGAAACGCCTCTGGCAGGTACAAACAAACTCAAGTGAGGGGCCTGGAAAGGATGGGCTTTTAATACTTCAGAGGGGCCTGGCCCTTGTGGTGACAGCTACCTCAAGTCCACTTCAAAAGCCCCCGATGCCCTGGGGACTTGGGGAGATGACATCAATGCAGTACTTCTGCCCCCTGTCCTCCCAGCCCAAATCCCTAGGTTCAGCAGAGCCTCTGGGGCCCCTCCCCTCCCAGGTTCCCCACTCCCCACCAAGGTGCTGGGACCCAAGGCAGGAAAAGAATGTTTACTTAAAGGCTGACAGTTCAAAAGGAGTGGGGGCTGGGGGAACCTAATGGCATCGCAAGTTGCTTTCTTTTCCAAAGCTCTGCCCCAGGGAAAGGCGATCCATCTGCCTGCAATGCGGAGGAATGCCTGCCACATCCTCTTCCTAGCCAGCCACTGAGGGCTCTTCCTGGGGCCCTCGGTCTAGCTAGCAAAGGTGGCAGACACTGATAATAGGGGGAGTCAAAGGTTAAACAGCAGAGATTAGGTGAACACAAAGGCTTGTTAGGAAGTGTTAACATCTTCCTGGCAAATATACACAAAAAGCAAAACCAGGAGAGAAGCACTCCACCCACTCCCCTGGCTGGGCTAGTTCAGAAGGGGGGAAAAAAAATCTCAGGGCTTGGCCTCAAAGGCAACATCAGGATCTTAGAAAGAAAGCCTGAGGTGCCTGGCTTGCTAGACTCTGTCCTACACTTAGCCTAGGGAACCACAGCATCAAAAACCCAGAGGGTCAGCTTTGTTTGGGGTCTATTGTGATGGGTTTAGTTTATTGGGTGAGGTCCTTGAAAGGCTCAAAGGAGGTAGGGGGCAGCCAACCCACTCTCTGGCTCTGTTCCCCAGCCTAGAGGGTTACCACCACAACAGTCTGTACTTGACTTTCTTACCAACACTTGGACAAGAGAAGGGCCTCTGCTTTTGGAAAAATCTGAATGCTTAGTTTTAGGCATTAATGATGTCCTAGGGCTTGAAATGATTGTACTTTGTTGATTTTTGTTTGCTTTTGAGAAAGGGTCTCACTATATACCCAGGCTGGTCTCAAACTCCCAATCCTCCAGCCTCAGCCTCCCAAGTACTGGAATTAGAGGCACCTCCATGCCCAGTTGTGTGAGTTGAGAATCTAAAGATGAAGAAGAAACAAGAACTATCCTTGTCTACACAGGCAGTTTTGGTTCCTGTTAAAAGGCAAACTTTACAGCAGAGTAATTCCCAGGCTTTTGCAGGTGTTCAAAGGAAGAGAGACCTGACTTCCGCCATCCCCAGTTCCTGTTCCGGTTAGTTGCAGGCACACATCAAAAGATTACTTTTTCTTTTTTTCTGATGCTGAAGATTGAACCCAGGGCCTCTCTTCATGTTAAATACATGTGTAACCACTTAGCTAGATTCCAGTTCTCAGTTGGCCTGGAACTCAAGATCCTCCCTACCTTTCTTCCCAAGTACCGGTATTACAGACATGAACCACATCCATCTAACCTTTCTTTTGCAACACTTGTTTTGTGCAAAGTACTACTCTAGACACATCAAAAAACAGCCTTCTCAGGTTGGCTACTTACATTATACTGTTACAAAAGAAGAAACTGAAGCCGGGTGCTGGTTGCTCATGCCTGTAATCCTAGCTACTCAGGAAGATGATATCTGAGGATCATGGCTCAAAGCCAGCCTGGGCAGGAAAGTTCCTGAGACTATTATCTCCAATTAACCACCAGAAAACCGGAAGTGGCGCTGTGGCTCAAGTGGTAGAGTGCTGCTAGCCTTAAGCTGGAGAGCTGAGGGGCAGTGCCTAGGCCCAGAGGTCAAGCCCCACAACCAACCAAAAAAGAAAAAAAAGAAGAAGAAGAGGAGGAGGAGGAGGAGAACGAGGGAAAAGAAGAGAAGAGGAGGAGGAGGAGGAAGAAGAAAGAAGAAACTGAGGCAAAGAAGAGTTAGGTAGGTTGCCCCAATCACAAAGCTAGTACATGGAGAAGCCTTACTATAAGTAAGTTCCTCAAATCTCCTAACCTGTCCACTTCTGCATTCTTGCCATAAAGTAAAAGACTACCTGGTCTAGATTTCCTGCATCTGTTCAAGTAGGGGCAGATACTGATGAGGGGAGTTCAGACCCTTAGGCTCTTACCACCCAGCAGGTCCCCTGGACATTATCTAGCAATTGCTAGCTATCCTTTTTTTGAATGGCCAAAGTCTTCAAAAGGCAGTGGAAGCTGGACACTGATAGGTTCACACCTATAATCCTAGCTACTCAAGATGCTGAGCTCTGAGGATCAAGGTTCGAAGCAGGAAAGTGTGAGACTTTTATCTCCATTTGACTACCAAAAATCCCAAGTAGAGCTGTAGCTCAAGTAGCAAAGTGTGAGTCTTGAGCAGAAAAGGCTAAAGGACAGCACCCAGGCAGAGCTTGAGCCCCAGTACTGGTACACACACAAAAAGACAAGTGGAAGTAAATGCTTGTAGGGACTCCTGGCCCTGCCACTGTGGCCCTGGGGCAGGCTGTTTAACTTCTAGGCCTCAGTTTCTCCAAATTCTTTTCTCCTCTGAAGGCAGTGGAAGGGCTGCTGCAGACAGTCATGTAGGCCCCACCCTATATCTCTATACCTTGCTTGGCAGGTGTTCAGAGAAGTTTCCAGCTGGTCCTTCCCTGAGATCAGCAGCAGGCAAATCTTAAAGCTCAAGTTGTGAGCAAACCAATCACCCTTACCCCAATAGCCCTTGATAGAGTCACAGTGACATGCACACATTCAGGGTCTCAGTCTATTGAAAGGAATCCTGTTGAGTCCAAATGTCCTAAACTTATCTCACCACAGAATCCTTTGCCACGGTGATAGTATCATTGATGTCAAAATCAGTCAAGCTCTTCAGATTCCATTTTCTTTCTTTCTTTCTTCTTTTTCTTTTCTTTCTTTCTCTCTCTCTTTCTGTCTCTCTCTCTCTTTCTTTTTTTTGTTGTTGTTGATCATGAGGCCTGAACTCTGGGCCTGGCACTGTCCCTCAGCTCTTCAGCTCAAGGCTGGTGCTCTACCACTTGAGCCACAGTGCCACTTCCTGCTTTTTCTGCTTGTATGGTAATGAGGAATCAAACCCAGGGCCTCATGCATGCAAGGCAAGCACTCTACCATTCAGCCACCTTCCCAGCCCCCAGATTCCATTTTCTAAGGAACCATTGAAGATCTGCTTCCGGTTAGCTATTACTTGGGATGTGTGTATGTGTCTGATGTCATCAAACAATCTGTGAGGTAGCTATAAGCATGTTCCCAACATAAAATGGGAAATCCAAGTACTACAGATGATACATGGCAGAGGCCAGATTTATGCCAATTATCTCCCCACTCCCTTCTTCCTACACAAACATTCTTGTTGGATCCAGATGTTACAACAGAATCCTGTCAAATACTTTCTTCCTTCCCTAATTCATCTTTCATTAATATCTGAAGTCAAGGACACAGCACACTAGAATCAATTCCTTCAAGCAAAGTGGCCAACCCAGTTCTTCAGTGACAAGACAAGTTTGGAAAAAGCAACTCAGTGTGGCTTTTGGTCAAGAACCAGGGTAGGCATGGTAGAAACCAGAGAAAAATGCAACAGTACAACAGACATTGCAGATACCTGGGAGAGAAGGTACTTACCTCCTTTAGACAGATCAGCTCATCATGCTTACTTTCTTCAAACATTTTATACAACCATTAATATATAAGACCAAAAATAAAAATAAGGAGCTGGGTGCCAGTGGCTCATGCTTGTAATCCTAGCTACTCAAGAGGCTGAGATCTTAGAAATGAAGTTTGAAGCCAGCCTAGGCAGTCAAATCCAAAAGACTCCTATCTGCAACCAAGCAGCAAAAGATCTGACCTAGAGGTATGACTCAAGTGGTAGTGTCAGCCATGAGCAGAAAAAGCCAAATGGGAACTCAAGTTCTAAGTTCAAATCCCAATACAAACACATGGGCATATTCATACACACAAAAGAAAATATGGGGGCTATGGAAAAAGGGAGAAAAATGAAGGAGGGGGTAACAAGTTCAATGAGGAATGTTCTCACTACCTTATGTAACTGTAATCCCTCTATATCAACTTGACAATAATATTAAAAATTTAAAAAAGAAAATATGGATCCTTCCCTCCTCTGGGTGATGTGATAATCAGGAAATAGATTTTTTAAGGTATCCTGAAAAAGCTAAACACTGCTAAAAAGAATAGCAGTTGAAGGTAGAAGGTGAAAATGCCACCAGGCTCCACTCTCAGGAAAGAGCTGCTCAAAGTTCTGGTTGGCTTCTAAGGCTTACCTCTTAAAAGAGGGACCTGCAGGACAGAAATAAGCCAGGCTGGGACACTAAACCAGAGGCTCCAATATGGGTACTAAAATTCTCCTTTCACAGCTGGGCACCTGTGGCTCATGTCTATAATCCAATTATTCAGGAGGCTGAGATCTGAGGATCAAAGTTCCAAGCCAGTCCAGACAGAAAAGTCCCTGGGACACTCTTTATCTCCAATTAACCACTGAAAAACCAGAAGTGGTGCTATAGCTCAAGTAGGAGGCTCAGGGGCAGTGTCCAGGCCCTGAGTTCAAGCCCCATAACCAACAAATAAATAAATAATAAAATACTTCTTTCCCCTTCATGGAAAACCTTACCCTCTGGGGTAACACTTCTGTCGTGTGTGCGTGCGCGTGCGCGGGTGTGTGCGTGTGCGTGTGTGTGTGTGTGTGTGTGTGTGTGTGTGTGTTTAAAGAGATACCTCCCCCTCCCCCTTGGGTACTGGAATGAGTCTCTAGACATGGAGCCCCAGGCTAACAGCGCCACCTATGGCTGGTAGCATTCAGGAGATGGGACCCAGAGGATCTGCCCGCAGATGAATTTTTTGGTGAGCTAGCTAGCCTTTCTTCTTTCAGTCCCTTGTAATCACATTTCTGCCTGATATCTGTATTCGACAGTGACCTCTGGGGGACAAACAGTAGGCAGCAGCCAGATCCACAAAGTGCTAAGCTGCAGATTCAAGTGCTATCGGAAGCACTTTTGTTCCCAGTTTGGACCCAGGGCCTCTTACGCCAGGGAATGCTTGCTGAAGTACGGAGTTTGTTTTCCTACAGGCAATTTCTCTGTTGTCTGAAATTGCTAAATTCCACTTTAGGCACTGACTCCTGTTAATGATGAGAACAATAACGGGGATAAACTGCCTCTTATCTGAGGGCTTCAATGTGCTTTACAAACGCAAACTCTTATTATTATGACTTTATATTTATAGACAAGGCACACTGCAGGGGCCGCTGGTTGTATGTACAGCAATAACCCTGAAATTAATTCATTCATCTCCACCCTTTTCCCTGTCCCCTTAACCCTGCCAAAGTGAGGGGGTATGGAGGTCATAAGAGGAGGTCAGAACCCAGGGCTGCACTGGAGAGGCTCTGTTCCCTGTGAGCCTCATGGACCTGAGAAAAGAGGGAAGGAGAGACTAGAACACATGGACTGAGGAGAAGAGCAAGGAGGTAGGTCCTCTTGACTACATGTAAGACAGTGAAAGAATATAACCTTGGTTTTAGACTTAGCACCCCATGAGACAGGCTGGATAAGCTTCACAGTTTGTGAATGGGTAACTGGAAAACCTCCCATCTCAATGCTCCAGACTGGAGTTGACCTGATATGTAATCCCACTGGCTCAGGATGAAATGGATTCATTTCTTCTCAGCCCCCACAACCTGCTATCCCACTAGCAAACAGAAAAGAGTAGTTGAGTGGTCCTTCTGAAACAGACTGCCAGAGACTTCCAGAGCACCTGCCCATTTTCCTTTAGTCCAGGGAGGGATCAGGGTTACTGCTGCCCATCCAGTGCTTTAAAACCCCTAACTCCCACCTCAGGCAGGTGTGCTTCCATGCTCTGCCTCCCTGCCAGCTCTGACAGTGATGTCACTAGGCTAAGTCCACCAAGGATCAGAGCCAACCAGGAAGTCAAGGTCTCAATATCCTTAGGACAGAATATCCAAGATCAAAGTTCATGTGCACATGATTCCCTCATACCCCCATTCATTCAACCAAGTCAATGACGCTGATTGCTTTATATAAGGGGCTGCAGAGCATGGAGGAAGTGCCTCCACCCTCAAGTGCCCCTGGGGTTTGGTTCAGCCTGCCTTCCTTTGGGGCCTGACCCCCATCCCACTCATACACAAGCAGACTGCAGTGCTACTCACTTTTTGTTGGTGGTTTTGACAATGATGCAGCGCTCCTTGGGGGCCACGCAGACACTATACACATCTTTTGGGTAAGGAAGATTGCGAATCCGCCACTGAAAACTCATCTTGGTATCCTTGCGCATGAAGATAGGCTGCAGAAGGCAACTCCAACTCATGACTGGTCCTGGGGAAGTTGTGGGAAGGGATGACTCCCACCCTCCCCAAAGTTCCATTTCAGGCAAGATGATGGTCCTCAGCTCTTCTCCAAAACTCCCCTCTGAGGCCACCATTGTATGACACTCCAGGCCTGAAGGCCTCACCCTTTAGGCATTCACGCAAACTGTGGCCACTGGAGAAGGAGTTGAACAAGTAATACTCCCTGCCCTGAGAGGCCAGAAGTCTCTCCCAGCCCCCACAAGCCAGCAGGACAGATGGACATACATTGGCATTGCTTTCCTTGATGAGCTCGGGCCCCAGGCTCCCTGCTCCTGGAGGTGCTGGCTCTCCCACTTCAAGCTGCCACTGGCCCAGGGCTCCCAGGGCACTTTTCATACGCCACTTTCTCACTGGGGAGAGAAGCAAGCAAGGTGTTTATAGTGAAGAAAGGATTTCTGCTGTGGCTCCAGCATGCCATCAGGTCATTGAAACAGGATACAAGCAAGAGCTTTGGTCTGTGTCCTCAGCCTTGTTCATCTGCAGGAACCATGCAACCTGTGAAATCTTCCTACAGCATTTCAGTAGCTGACAACCTGCAAAGTCCCTCTCATGGATACCCAGACAAAAGGAACGGAAAAGAAGTTCTCAAAAGAGAGAAGGGGAATGCAAAACCCCTAAGGTGTGGCATCAAGCAGGAAAAAAATGGAGGTTTGGCAAATATAATTTCTCATAATGGGAAAATCTGGATTCCCCAAATGAAATTTGGATTCATTTTTCCCCTCTAAAAATGTGTAAAAAGGGGCTGGGAAGGTGGCTCAGTGGTAGAGCACTTGCCTTGCATGCATGAGGCCCTGGGTTCGATTCCTAAGCACCACATAAGCAAAAAGAAAAAAGCCGGAAGTGGTGCTGTGGCTCCAGTGGAAGAGCACTAGCCTTCAGCTGAAGAGCTGAGGGACAGCGCCCAGGCCCAGAGTTCAGGCCCCACGACCAGACTCAAAAAAACAAAACAAAACGTGTAAAAAATGAAGAGTGTGAAAACTGTTCAACAAGGTTGTATCATGATTTAGAAATTTGAAATATAAAATTCAAGCCAGGTGCGAGTGGTTCATACCTGTAATCCTAAACTACTCAGGAAGCTGAGATCTCTGAGGTTCAAAGCCAGCCCAGGCAGAAAAGTCCGTGAGACTCTTTTTTTTTTTTTTTGGTGGGTCGTGGGGCTTGAACTCTGGGCTTGAGCATTATCCCTCAGCTCTTCAGCTCAAGGCTAGCGCTCTACCACTTGAGCCACAGTGCCACTTCCGGTTTTCTGGTGGCTTATTGGAGATAAGAGTTTCACGGACTTTCCTGCCCGGGCTGGCTTTGAACCTCGATCCTCAGATCTCAGCCTCCTGAGTAGCTAGGATTACAGGTGTGAGCCACCATGAGACTCTTATCTCCAATTAATCACAAGAAAACTGGAAGTGGCATGTGGCTCAAAGTGGTAGAGCATTAGCTTGGGGGGAAAAAGCTCGGGGACAGTGCCTTAGACCTGAGTTCAAGCCCCAAGACTGATCCAAAAAAGAAGAAGAAGAAATAATACAAAATTCACTCTTTTCAGGTATACTTGGCTTAAAAAAAATCTGAAAGCCAGGCACCAGTGGCTCACACCTGTAATCCTAGCTACTCAGGAGGCTGAGTTCTAAGGATCATGGTTCAAAGCCAGCCAGGGCAGGAAAGTACGTGAGACTCTATCTCCAATAAACCACCAGAAAACTGGAAGTGGCGCTGGCTCAAGTAGTAGAGGGCTAGCCTTGAGCTGAAGAGCTGAGGGACAGTGCCCAGGTGCAGAAATCATGAAATCATGGCCTAGAGATATAGTTGAATAGCAGAGTTCTTTTCTAGCATACATAAGACCAGATATCAGTCTCCAGCACTGCCACAAATAAACAAATCTTACATAGATATTTTAAATTTCCCTATTGATGGAATAGCCAGTGTGATTTATTTGGTAAAATGGACATCATTTGCAACTTTATAATGTAAATAGCTAGTGGCTAGTCCCAGGAAGCCCCTGCCAGGATTTTCCTGATCATCACTCAGCTCTATCCCAGTGGAGAACCTCTCAAGGCACCTTCAGTCCTTCCTATCCTGATGCATTTGGAACCCCTGAAACTGACATCTTAGGGTGTCCTTAAATAAGCACCAACCCTGCTGAAGACCACTAGCGTCCAGGAGCTATCTCAAGAAGCTGACCAGTTCAGAAAGTACCTAGTGCGCTACAGTGGGTACTTCCAAGTATGTCTTCTTTTTAGGGAGGGAGGAGGTAGGGGGTGGTGGTGTGGCTCCAGTGAGATCCTCAGTGGCATGTGCCCTCAGTGCATGTGTCAACCCTGCACACCCTTGCTGCTGTAAGGCAGGCATATGAGCCAAGCACAAAGCATGCTGTAAAATTAGAATTTTTCCTTGAATATGTGCTTTTATAAGGTCTGCTGCATTCTGCAGTGTGATTTTATTACATCTTAGGGCCAAAAATTCCCCTGAGAAAACATTTCCAAGTTTATAATGAAAATTAATAAGGAAGAGTAAAACTTGGAAATATGCTTTATAGGCAACTTTTTCCCCACAAATACTTTCTTAAGTGAATGATCTGTGACCAGAAGTACATTCAAGTCTTTTTACTATAATACCTTACTTAACTGGAAGACAGTCTTTTGGCGGCCTGTCATAGTCACAAACTCAGAAGTGACAAACATCTCTGAGCAGCAGCTCATGAAACAAGATCATGTACCCTACTCTGTACCATAAGAACAGATAACTCCCTGTTCCTTGTCAATCCATACATAAAATGCTGTGTATATCGAGGATCTAGCTCAGTGGTAGAACCCATATCTAGCATTGTGAGGCCATGGTTTGATACCACAGGGGAGAGAAAAAAAAGTATGTGTCCAGTAAATAAGGGAGGACATTATTGTTTCCCCCAGGTATACTGACAATAGGATCCAGACAGCTCACATGGAAGGACAGAATTACAAAAGTACTTAGGACTACTTAATGCAAGGGCAAACAAGTAGCCCTAATCACAAGTCACTGCTATATGACAGAATTTAATCACACATTTTAAGGGTGGAAGTTCCTTTAGAATATGTCTAGTCCAATGCCTGTATCTTAAAATAAAAGACTGTATTTCCCCCCTGTGTTTTTGCTGTTATACATTGCTACTACTTACTAGGGGACAGAAATTAATTTGCAAAAAAATAGCTTAAATCAGGTCTCTTGCCAAGTGTGATGGGGCATGGGAGGAGGACGAGGAGGAGGAGGACGAGGAGGAGGACGAGGAGGACGAGGAGGAGGAGGAGGAGGACGAGGAGGAGGAGGACGAGGAGGAGGAGGAGGAGGACGAGGAGGAAAAACAAACAACAGGGGCTGGGAAGGTGGCTCAGGGGCAGGGAAGGTGGCTCAGTGGTAGAGAGCTTGTCTTGCATGCCTGAGGCCCTGGGTTCGATTCCTCAGCACCACATAAGCAAAAAGAAAGAAGCTGGAAGTGGCGCTGTGGCTCAAGTGGTAGAGTGCTAGCCTTGAGCTGAAGAGCTGAGGGACAGCGCCCAGGCCCAGAGTACAGGCCCCACGACCAGACCCAAAAAAAAAAAAAAAATTAATGTATTCTAACCCTCCAAACCAGACAAGTGAATCAGCAATAAGAGGTTAAACTTTTATGTAAAGTGTCCAATTATATAGTATTTAGAAAGATTTCTTTCAGTAGCTTTGTTTCCTTTTGGCCTCTAAATGATAAGCTTTGGTTATCAAAAAGAGTAATTGAGGAATATCTAGCTAGCTGGGGCTAGAGAAGTGGAGAAGTGAGAGACTTCTTTAAACATTGGCCATGTTAAGCTGGTATGCCAAGGTACATTACCAATAGCTACCCCAGCATTTCCTAGCCACTCTTCTACTCCAAGGAATGCTGCGTTCTCCACTGAAATATTCCCAAGAAGGACTCAGAACCCTCCTCTGTGCTGGCGTCCTCACTTCTTACCTTGAAAGCCACATGGGTCACAGGAGCTTGGCACCGCTCTCGGCTGCCTCACTTTATTATCATCTTTTTTTTTTAACCCCTTGGGAATTCAATTCTTCATTGGACTGCAATGCAACGGTCAGGAGGCAATATCTAATACACAATTTGGATGAAGTTCCTTACTTTTCCCAAGCATGTGGGTATGAGCACACATGTGCAACGATATACTTTGTCTTTCTTGTCCCTGTCTTTGTTCCTGTACTCAAGGACAGCTCCCGCGGCAACAGAAGACTGTTTCCACCTGCTGTCACTCTGATTTGATTATATGGTAAACCCAAACTGGAGTGTGTAAGGCAGCTCCCTGGGAGGCTGCCATCTCTCCCTGCCTGAGCCAGGGCCAGTCCTTGGAAAGGAGACTTTCAATGACCCTGTAAAGGGTCTGACGGGGAATATATGAAGGAAGCAGCGCCTAGGGGCTTTTTCCTAAGTCAGCAGGAAGCAAGCTGATGTCCCAGACTGTTGAAAGAGGCCCCATCTTTCAGGTGGGCTGGAAAGTAGAGGTCCTAAAGGCCTCTTTCCCCAAAGCTCTAAGGTCTGGCCCACTTCCAATGTGGATAATTACATTCCCCTTTCCTAAATACTCCCTGCAGCTTAAACTGGATGCAGGATTCTTCTTTTCTGCCCTAAAACACTGCAACATTGCTATGTGGCTATTAAACAGCTGCCGTGGCCCATCCCTGAGGAGGCTGAAGGGAATCGAGTGGGTCATTTATAAAGCCGCTCAAGTGCCTGGGGATGAAAGTGCTCAATATCCTCCAAATGCGGTCTGCGGTGGTTAGGCTGGCGGTCAAATACCAAAGCAGATTAAGCGGTAATCCGAATGTAATCGCTGGGGGATGGCCTGCCCTTCAGCCTCTGCCCCCCTGGACATGCTGTGTTCTTCTGGGGCTGGTTTGATGTTCCGATCATTGTTACGGGGCCCTTCAGTTTTTTCCTCTATGAATACATACAGCATTCGTTGTGGGGGGTGGGAATGAATAGCCCCTCAGAGGGTAGAAAAAAGATGACACTAACATGCTTATTAACACTGACTGGAGAACTCTGTCCCAGACAGATGCACACCTCTTAGCAATTCTTCCTCTGTAAATTACGTGGAGCTTTTCTAACACAAAACCAGTTTGACCAATTATCAAATTTGGATATTAGTTAGAAAAATGGAAACGATTTGTATTTTCTGCCACAAAACCCATGTCCTTATTTTCTTCATAATATGCACAGGCAAAAGCCAGCTTGGCTCAGGTCCTTGGGGTTATTTATGCTCAAAATTAATAGCCCAGCACAGAGACATGCGCCTGATGTCCTGGCTTCTTGGGAAACTGAAGCAGGAGGGCTGCTTGAGCCCAGGACTTTGAAGCCAGCCTGAGCAACATAGCAAGACCCAGTCTCAAAAAAGAATTTATAATGAGCAGTATTTTTGCAAGGACAGCTGGGTGGGAGGGGGGGAGAAAAAGAAGTAAGAAAAGGATGTGCTATTATGCTCGGGCTGAAGCTCAGAGGCTAAAGCGGGGTATTCCTTGCTGCCCATCAGTCCTCATTAAGATTATTCTGAAGAAAGAAACATTTAGTAAGAAAGAAAGAACATTCTCAACTCTTAACACTACGTTCTTGTATGCTAAAGTACAAGCTCCTCAGTAGGATAGAACTAAACTTACATTGTGGTTCAGATACAAACCAGCCATGTAACTCTGAACAAGGGACCTAACTTCCTTAAGCTTCTGATTTTTTTCAATTCTAAAATGGAGGCAACAATACTTAAGGCTTTAATGAAGACAACTGTATGAGAAAATACATGCCAAACGCTTGACATGGAGCCCAATCAGAGAAGGGTGCTAATGTCATTATTAGGTAAATTTTAGCCAACTGGTGCTCCCTTACCAACAGTGTCCTCCTCCACTTCAGCTGTTAAGCAAAAGGAATGTTTTTTGGTCGGTTGTGGGGCTTGAACTCTGGGCTTGGGCACTGTCCCTCAGCTCTTCAGCTCAAGGTGAGCACTCTACTGCTTGAGCCACAGCGCCACTTCCGGTTTTCTAGTGGTTTTATTGGAGATAAGAGTCTCACGGCCTTTGCTGCCCGGGCTGGCTTTGAACCGTGATCCTCAGATCTCAGCCTCCTGAGTAGCTAGGATTATAGGCGTGAGCCACCAGCACCCTGCTAAGCAAAAGGAATTTGAAAGCCATGATTTATCCCCAGGCACCACTGGAAGAAGTGACAGTTAGTGTGGGATACTGGGTTATAGAGTTCTACAAATGAGGGAACCTGGACTTACTTTCCATATTAGTTTCATGTTCAAGCACAACAAAGAGGTCTGGGGGTGGGGTGTGTGTGTGTGTGTGTGTGTGTGTGTGTGTGTGTGCCCTGGTGTGTGTGTGTGCCCTGGTGTGTGTGTGTGCCCTGGTGTGTGTGCCCTGGTGTGTGTGTGTGCCCTGGTGTGTGTGCGCGCCCTGGTGTGTGTGTGTGCCCTGGTGTGTGTGTGTGTGTGTGTGTGTGTGCGCGCCCTGGCAGCTATAGCTGCCTTCTTTGCTCTGTGTGGAGAAGAGAGGCGGCACTTGAGGCTGTGGCGAGGAGCTACAACCAGACTAGCTGGGCTGCGGTAGTGGTTAGCCACGTGACCTCTGCTTTCATAAGTTCTCCCCTGTTAGGCATTCCAAGGCTGTCACCCCCTGGGAACACTATAAATTACAAAGCATTGTGAGGATATTACTACTGTATTGGTTTCTACCAAATCAGTGTCATATGCTAAACACATCAAGATTTTTAATAGCACCAGACTAAACCAATTGGGAACAGAGCCCAAGCAGCTCATAATAAGAAGGGATCAACACTTCACTCTGCAACTGAACATGCGCAGGACACACATTTTGAGACTGGAGACTAAGAGAATGCAAACCAGTATAATCCATGTTGTCGGTTCTAGACATTTATGAGCTGTCAGAAAGAGGGAAAACGAAATTCCCTCACCAATACTACCTGTCGATCAGGCCCAGAAAGAAATTAAAGTCAAGAATAATGGCAAGAAAATACCCCAGCCCATGATTCCATCATTGAACTTAGCATTTCTGGTAGAACTTAATAAAGAGACCAACTCCCTCTGCTGACAGCCTTAGGCCCCAGGTCACAGAGCCAGTCATCCAGCTCTAGGAAGTCAGTTAATGCTGATGCCCATACCTGGGAACAGAGAATGGACAAATCAAAGAATGCCCAGAAACCTGAGCTGGAGCCTCTCTATTCATGAGCCTATATTTTTTAGGAAAAACCTGGAGGAATAAAAATGGCAATGATGCAAAGTCACCATTTCTATCCCCTTTGATTCATTCAGTTAAGATAAGGGTCTTATTTAACAGTATTGCCTTGAAGGCAAGATCAGAAGCTTGCTTGACTCAGATGTGACCTCACAAAGCAAAAGAACAAAGTAAAAAAACCTGCAGTGAAAGCCCGCGCTTGCCCTACTCAGATACAAGGCCCACTTCAATGCCACCTTCTTCAGGAAGGTGTTTTTTGTTTTTTGGGTATTTTTTCCCAACTGTTTCTCTACATCCCCACTCCCAGCTTAGAAGAATCACTCACCCCATCATTTATCTGAGAGCTGGAATTTACTGGTCAAAAGAACTCCAACATTGTCTAGGCAATGCTCAGGAACAATAATGTCCATAGGCCTCAAGTCTCCTCCAGTTATCACCTCAGTGCTGGGCTCCTCCTCGAAGCCTAGGAGCATTCAACTGGGCCTACATCAGCCCATGCATTTCTAGGGCTCCACCGGGAGCCTGTAACTTACCAAGTAGTTCACTTGTCTTCTCATCATATTCTTCAGCCATTTCCTTCCCGTCTGGGAACAAATAGTGCACTTTCCTTCTCCCTATGCACAAAAGCAGAGAGCACCTTACCTCAAAGCCTCCCTTTGTTTTGTTCCCTATACATCAAGGGTCAGACCCAGAAAACTCCCAGAAGCCCTGGGAGTACTGAGAAATCTTGCCAATCTGCCACAGACTCTTTACCAATTATCACCCACTATTGCTTTAAAGCACATCCTGGATTCACTTTTTTTCTCTGAAAGGCCTTTGCGCTACTGTTTCCTCCACTGCACCATACTTCTTCCCAACTGTGGAACTCTTCCTTATCCGAACAATCCAGCTTCCACTAGGAAGTCTTCTTTAATTATATCTCTAGCCACCTGAGCAGAAATAATCAATTCCTAATCTGTACCTCTCTTATTTGCATATCACAGTAGAGGATTTATCAAATTCTATCACAGCACTTAAAAGCATCTGATATAAATATATGTGTTTTAGAAACAAGCCTACTATGTGTTCAGAATGAGGAGGTGAATTTCCCAACTGCAACCTCCCTCCAGCTTTGCTATCACTGCCTTCTTCCACCCATCCCTAAGCCATTCCTCACATGAAACCGCAGGATGGTATCCTCATTGCATTCTCTTCCAGACACACACTTTGGCTATGATTTTACATCTATTTGTGTGATTCTTTGATAACTGCTATCTCTTCTGGATAGGAAGGGTTTTATCCCTGTACCTGTTCGTTTCCCTGAAACCAAGTGTGCATTGCAGATAATTGGGAGTTCAACCAAATACTGACTGAAAGAATAAACAAACACTGATTCATCCAGTAAAAGAAAAGAGCTCAAGGGAGTCTCCTAGCCCAGTTTCTCTACCCATAAGGCATAGTTATGAACATTTGCTTAGGAGTGATTATGTAATTTCTTCTATTTACAGACAGATAAGTAGGTAGACGTGGATTCCTCAGACCGATAAAAGGGTGTTTACATGCTGTGGACACATTCTACTACATGAGCTTCAAGAATAAGGGGGATCAAGTGGTACAGCTCTTGTCTCTGAGGTGAGGCACTAGGGATTTGGTACAGTACCACCAAAAATAAATCAGAGTCCTAGAGTAGGGAATCCCTGTCTAATTCACTCTTCTGGGACAGTCCTCTGAAACCATTCCTAATTTGTATTTCAGGGAAACTCATCTCCAAATTTACATGGCCTTTCAGCAGACGCTTGGTTCTACCAGCCTTAATCATTTGGACACCTGCAGGGGCCTAAGAAGTTCCCCTGTCAGGAGAGGGGTACAAGATGTTGCCTGTGAAGAGCTGCAGGTATCTAGCCTTAGTGTCTTCCCTTTGCATCTGGCCTTGGGTCCAGGAAAAGGATACAGCACTTACTAACAACAAGGAACTTTACATGTCTTACTGAATTTAATTCTCACAATAATCTTTTTTTTTTTTGGTCAGTTGTGGGGTCTGAACTCTGGACCTGGGTGCTGTCCCTCAGCTCAAGGCTAGCGCTCTACCACTTGAGCCACAGTACCACTTCCGGCTTTTTCTGCTTATGTGGTGCTGATGAATCAAACCCAGGGCCTCATGCATGCAAGGCAATCACTTTACCACTCTACTACCTTACCAGCCCTCACACTAATCTTATATGTCCCATTATTTATACTTCACAGATGAGGAAACAGGTTTAAAGATCATACAACTTGCCCAAGCTTATAAGGCTACTCAGTAACAGATGGAGCTTAAACTCGTCTGAGGCCAAAGTCCATTCTTGAAGTTCAAGCTCAAGTAAGTAAAATGGGATAACTTGGATGGTTTCAAACATTTGTAAGAGCTGCATGCCAGTGGCTCTTGCCTGTAATCCTAGCTATTCAGGATGCTTAGATCTGAGGATCACAGTTCAAAGCCAGCCTGGGCAGGAAAGTCCCTGAGACTCTTACCTCCAATTAACCACCAGAAAACTGGAAGTGGTGCTGAGTCTCAAGGGGGTAGAATACTAGCCTTGAGTGAAAAAGAGCTCAGGAACAGCACCCAGGTTCTGAGTTCAAGCCCCAAGATTGACAAAAAAGGGGGGGCTGGTAATTTGGCTTAGTGGTAGAGTGCTTGCCTAGCATACATGAAGCCCTGGATTTGATTCCTTAGTACTACAACAGAAAAAGCTGGAAGTGGCGCTGTGGCTCAGGAAGTAGAATACTAGTCTTGAGCAAAAGAAGGTCCCGGACAGTGGCCAGACCCTGAGTTCAGGTCCCTGACTGGCAAAAATATTAAAAAGCAAATTGTAAGGTGGAATACTGTTCTTTTTTTTTTTGTCGGTCATGGGGCTTGAACGCTGGGCCTGGGCGCTGTCCCTCAGCTCTTCAGCTCAAGGCAAAGCGCTCTACCACTGGAGCTACAGCGCCACTTCCGGTTTTCTGGTGGTTTTATTGGAGATAGGAGTCTTACGGTCTCTCCTGCCCGGGCTGGCTTTGAACCGCGATCCTCAGATCTCAGCCTCCTGAGTAGCTAGGTTTACAGGCGTGAGCCACCAGCGCCCGGCTTGGAATACTGTTCTAAAAATTTAATTGGACACTTTTCTAGTGATTACCATTTTATGTTTCACATCCTCCAGAGGCAAATCTGCAGGTGGTTTTGACAAGGCATACCCACATGATTGTTAATGTATTAGTTTTTGGTTTGAGGGGGGAAAAAAAAACCCAACTTAAAACCTATCATTGTAATTTTTTTTGTTTGGTCAATTGTGGTCCCTGAACTCTGGGCCTGGGCACTCTCCATGTGTTCTTCAGCTCAAGGCTCGTGCTCTACCACTTGAGCCACAGCGCCACTTCCTGCTTTTTCTGCTTATGTGGTGCTGAGGAATGGAACCCAGAGCCTCATGCATGCAGGCAAGCACTCTACCACTGAGCCACCTTCCCAGCCCTACTGTTATAATTTTGTGATACTCGTATCAAAGAACTTAACATAACCTTGGCTATGAACTATTTGTTTAAATATTGTCCTGTGACTAAAGGTAGTAAACAGGTATTTGTATGCCCATGTTCAAAGCAGCATTATTTATAATAGTCATTCCAAGTGTCCACCATCAAATAATGAAAATGTGGGGGAGTGGTGTTGGTAAAAACACACATACATTATGGGATATTATTCAACTTTAAAGGAAATTCTGACACATAATATACCATGGCTGAACTCTGAAGACATTAAGCCATATGAAATAAGCCAGTCCTCTAGCATGGTAGCTCAAGGCAGATTAGATTTAGAAGAATGCAATTCAAAGCCACTCTAGACAAAAAGCATAACAAGACTCTTATCTCAACAAAAAAGCTGGGCATGGTGGTGTGTACCTGTGATACCAACCACATATGTAGGAATAAGTAGAAGAATCATGGTCTGAGCAAAAACCTCAAGATCCGATCTGGAAAAAAAATGACTAAAGCACAAAGGACTGGTGGCATGGCTCAAGTGATAATGTGCTTGCCTAGCAAGTGTGAAGCCCTACACCCTAGTATCAAAAAAAAACCCAAATATTTTATTATTCCCATTAAGTAAGATTTCTAGATTGCTTAAATTCATGAGAAAATGCCAGGTCCTGTTGACTTACACTTGTAACCCTAGCTACTCAAGAGGCTGAGATTTGAGGATTAGAGTTCAAAGCCAGCTTGGGCAGGAAAGTCTGGGAGACTCTTATCTCCAATTAATCGCCAGAAAATTAAAGTGGTGCTGTGGCTTAAAGTGGCAGAGCACTAGCCTTGAGTGAAAAAGCTCAGGGACAGTGCCCAAACCCTAAGTTCAAGCCCCACAATCAACAGGGGGAAAAAAATATCATAAGAGACAGAAAATAGAATGGTGGTTGCCAGTTGAGGAAGGTGAAAAGGTTCTGGAGATGGATGGTGGTAATGGTTGTAAAACAATGTGAATATACTCAATTCTACTAAACTGTACAGTTTAAAATGGTTAAAATGATAGAAACTGGTGCCTCACTTCTGTAATCTAGGCTTCTTACAAGGCTGGGATCTGCCAGCCCAGATAGAAAAGTTTGTCAGATGAAATTGTTACTACTGGAGTAACCAGTCCTGTACTTTCACACCTCCATGCCTTTATCCATTCCTCATAGCTAACTCTAATTTTTTTCTTTTTCTGTATAGCAAACACATGTTAATTCCTTAAGATCCAGAAATACCACCTCATCAGTTAGGTCTTCCTCCAAAAAGACAGTCATTTCTACCTACATGCTCTCATGCCATTTTATACAAGAGTCCAATTTCATCTGACATGTGCTATTATATACTTACATGTCTTTTTCCTGAACACTTTATGAACTCCTGACAGAACAAGTCTTTTTCTAACTGCTGTAGGCAGAGCTTTGGACCCAGGAAAAAGCCTCCTTAAATACTGTCTTTAGAAACAAATGAGCAGCTGACTTTAATTTCCGTAAACTCCAGGATTCCCTGCTGACCTCTACTTGTGGATATGAGTCCCACAGTTAGTTTTTTAATGCCTCAGAAATTCAGACCTAATTCACTTTGGCTGCCAAGAGGGTCCAGGGAAGAACCTAAAAGCACAAGGGACCCTATACTGAACAATTCTAGTGTGGAACCATGCTGGATTGCACACCCCTGTGCCCACTCTGACAGAAACAACCCTTAGCCGTTGTTCTGCACTGAATACATGTAGAGATTGACTTTACAAAAACATAGGGCAGGAGAGATAAGAGTGGTAGACAACCCACTTCGTGTTATAATGAGGAAAATGAGATACAAACAAGTAAAGGGGCTAACTGGAGAGTCCATGGTGAATTAATAGCAGGGTGGGACTATAACCCAGAAGTCCCGTAACACCAGGCCGCCATAGGCAACAGAACTCCCAGATTAAGGTCCGTGGAATCGCAGGTCAAGACTCAAATGTACCACTAACTGAGATGAGAAATCTTTGCCAGAAGAGCCAATGAGAACCGAGTGGGGGCGAGGTGGAAATGGTTTTCCCCAGCTGGTCTGTAACTTAAGTCAGTAAAATGGGGTGGGACACCAGTGAGGAGCAAGTGTTATCATGCATGTGAAAAGCAGTATTTACTAGCAACAAAACTCAGAAGGGGCCGAAATAGTGTAGGGAAAACAAGTGGGTGCCCGGTGACAGCCCGTCATCTCTCTGGGCCTCAGTTTCCTCATCTGCAAAAGCAGAAGAAACTCGACTGGCTGATGGCGGAGGTCCTTCCAGCTCTACTGACCTAGCCTCTGAGGCCCTCCTGGGGCCAGAGGGCCGGACCCTGGAGGGAAAGGACGAAGGAGCTCGCGGGGGGCTCAATTACCGTCCTGCAGCAGCGCAGTCTTCTCCGCAGCCCGCAGGCTCTCCACCCAGCCGGTCACCGCCATCTTCCCTTCACTCAACAGCGTGCCTGGCTGCTGCCATGGCAACTCTTCCGCCGATGGGTCACTTCCGGTTGACCCGGAAGGTGTTCCGAGTATTTGCCTTTTCCCTCCTTGTGCTTCGTCCATTCTCATTGGCTCCCCCTTCGGTAAGTGGTTTGTCGCTCGTCGCCGGGTTCCGGCTTTAGGTTGACCCACTCAGTGCAGAGTTGACCCTGCGGACCCTTCCCATGTGAAGAGCTCTGGAATGGGGAGATCCCAACCCTGGTCCCCAGATGGCAGTCCTTGGCCCCCGCTGTCGGCGGGTGCACCACACCTGCCCGGGTCCTCACCCCAGCTGGGAGGCTGAGACTCCCGAGTCGCCCCACACCTGCGGCGGCCGGGCCCCATCTCCCCGCAGCTGCAGGGCTCAGCACCCCATGCCCAGAGGCCCACGACCAGAGCAGGTGCAGGGCTCTCCCACAGCCCCGCCAAGACCCCCCTCCAAGGTTTCCTCTGCCGGAGTTGGTTGCGGTGGGTAAAGAAAGATGATGTGGGTTTCTAAGCAGGAACCTCCAGTCTCCTCTCCTTTGGACGTAGTTGTAAATGTAGCTCCATTTCCTAGCTTGCCATCTTTCTGACAAAGTTCCTCAAACTCTTCCGAGACTCACCAAAAGAAAGCTACTGTTTCCTATTCCTCAGAGGGATCCCTAGCCTCACCTTTCCCTCACTGTCTTCAATATTCTTTAAAAGGTTGTTGGGTGTACAGCTACCCTTAAATCACCAGTTTAACTTGGTTTCCACCGACCCCCAGGGAACTGGCCTGCATTGCTCAGGGCCTGTATCTACATAGGCTAAAAGGTCCAGGGGCCTCACTTGGGGATTTTGGAGTGACATCTGTGCTGACCATCCTTTAAACAGAAAGGCAAGGATTCACCCCATACTTCGATGGACCCCAGGGGCATCTTAAAAGCATTTCCCAAGCGAAAGAAGATCCAGGCCCATCCAGCATCAAAAGAACTTGCAAAGATTCCCAAGAGGGAAGAGGGAAAAGAAGCAGGAGGTAGGCTGTCATACCTTCAGAACTCTGACATAGTTGAACCCTCGACCTTTCTGTTGTTCAGCCTTTAATTGTTACTGTCCAGAATCCAGAAATGAAGCAGAAACTGGCAATGCAGATCTCTTTGTACCTACCTGCTTTGTCTTTTTTTTTTGTCGTGGGGCTTGAACTCAGGCCCTGGGTGCTGTCCCTGAGTTCCTTTTGCTCAAGCCTACTGCTCTACCACTTGAGCACTAGTCTTTTTCTAAGTAGTTTATTGGAAATATGATTCTCAAAGCCTTTACTGCCTGGGCTGACTTTGAACCATGGTATCAAGTCTTAGCCTCCTGAGTAGCTAGGATTACAGGTGAGTGCTACTCGAACCAGCTTCCAGCCTAGTCTTGACAGGCTACTTGTTGTGTTATCTTTTTCTGAAGATCCCTTCAATCAGAAAACACTCCTTGGAGCCGGGCACTGGTGGCTCACGCCTGTAATCCTAGCTACTCAGGAGGCTGAGATCTGAGGATCGCGGTTCAAAGCCAGCCCTGGCAGGAGACACCGTGAGACTCCTATCTCCAATAAAACCACCAGAAAACCGGAAGTGGCGCTGTAGCTCAAG